GATGTGATAATAAAACAAGCAACTATCTATATGATATCATGCCTTTATTGTGCAGGGTTCTGGTGATAGTACTAAGGGCTAAGTGGTCAAAACAGGGACCAATCTAAAACGTGCCTAAGCTACAAAAGGAACAAAGGTGAAGTAAAACAATACAATTTCAGTACTGTAGTAACAGAACAAGATTATTTGACATATTTATTTAGTATCTCTTTTTTTTTTTTTTTTTTTTTTTTTTTTTTTTTTAACTATTGTAAATGTACATAAATGAAACTGAATTTACAAAATGTCAATCAAAGAGAAAAGTAAGAAGAAAAAAAATACCCTGCCAGCTGGTCTGCTTTGTGTTGACTTGATCCTTACAAGGAACCCTTCTTCAAATCTTGCATCTGGCTGTGTGGGAAGTCCTGCTGCTTTCAAAAATATCTCTCTCTTTGAGTTAGTTCTTTCTCATTGCCATCTTGTGTTATCCCTGATGCTGGGGCATATTCTGATTGCCTATTTTTACCACTCTTACCTGAGCAGAAAACAAACCGCATACCACGTTCAGAAAATCTGGGGCTTCATACCTTAGGTCTCTGGAATTTGTTCCTTTCAGCTTCTTGAAAGCAGAAATCATTCAGCATGAGTGTAAACAAGAAAAGTCTCTTGGTGAGACTTGAACACACACCTCTCATTTTAGATTGGATTTTTCTCTAAGTGGTGATTCTTGTAGCTAGGATGGTAGACAAGCTATCACATATTAGATGTATTAAACAAATAGGTCAAAATATCTATCCAGTTTGAAAATTATATTAGCAAATTCTGGTGTTAAATAAGAGGAGGATGAGGATGGATAGATTGAGTGCATTTGAATCTGGTTTACATTGATAAGGTATTGTCTTTTCTTATCCTGACCCACTGACTTTAGCTCCACTCCACTAGGTTCACGTTTAATGGAATCTTCTGAATTAATAAGTACTGGAAATAAAATGTTTGATTTGTTTTTTTTTTGTTTTTTTCCAATTTTTGGCAAGGTTTGTTGTAGGAATGCATTGCAAATGAGAAAGAAAGGGATTGTCAATGGTCAGGAATGAATGTAAGCATTACTAATAGAATAGGGCTATTATATGTATAATGGAAATGCATTGCTAATGATTTTACTATAGGAATGCATTGCAAATGAGAAATTAAGGGATTGTCAGTGGTCAGGAATGAATGCAAGCATTACTGATAGAATAGGGCTATTATATGTATAATGTAAATGCATTGCTAATGATTTTACTATAGGAATGCATTGCAAATGAGGAAGAAAGGGATTGTCAGTGGTCAGGAATGAATACAAGCATTACTGATAGAATAAGGCTATTATATGTATAATGCATTTCTAATGATTTTACTATATGAATGCATTACAAATGAGGAAGAAAGGGATTGTCAGTGGTCAGGAATGAAGGCAAGCATTACTGATAGAATACAGATAATACATATAATTTATTTAGTATGAAATAAATTTAATGCTAATTAGACAAATATAAATATATTAAATCTCCTAAAAATTGCTAAATGCAATAATCTCATTTAAAAGCCAAACTTCTTCAGGTAGAAATTGTAGTGGGAATCTTTGATTTTTCTTAAACTGCTTATTAAATTGGCCCTCCCCAAAATAACAAAGGATCACATATTAAGAGAATCTGATCTTTGGCAAAGATTTTTTTTTTCAATTGCCATAAATCAAGGTGAAATTATAACAGTTTTGTTTCATCTTAAAATTAAAAGAAATGAGTTAATGTGATGATGACTTGATATTAAGTTGGGTTCTTGTAAATTCTATGACCCTGATGAATTGTTAAATTCAGATAATTGTCACCCACCTCCCTCAAGTTTGTAGTGGAGAGACATTTGCATGAATATAAAAGATACATTCAAATTGATTAATGTCTGTGAATTAGGAAAGGAATCTGTTTTTAATATGAGAATTTTCTCATCTTTTTTTTTCTTTTTTATACATTTCAACTGAATGATTTTTGCTGTAGAAGGAAAGTTTGATTAATTTGATGCAGTGTTTAAACAAATTTAATTCAGCTAGTCTTTTTCTTTTTAAAATGACATTAACAATTTTCAGCTTGAAATAACATTTTCTAGATAATTAAACCAAAGAATTATTTCAATTTAAACAAAGCAAAAATCATTATTCATAGAAAAGTGTTTTTTTTCAATTCAGCCTTGTATTAAATTATAGTTTTCACAAGACGAAGTTTTTTTTTATTTTTTATATACAAACAATTTGGTTCAAGCTTCTATAACTTTCCACCTCACTTATTACAATAAAAATATAAAAATACCAAATGGCCTATATAATTTACTTTTGTTGGAATTTCTGGTATGAAAAATTATCATTATCTATAAATGTTTATATCAGGGGACACAACTCTCTTACTTTCATTAGCTCTTGTTACAGAAATTTTGAATTCTCAAGTTTTCATTACTCTGATTGTTTTTGTCTGTTTGTTTGTTTTTTTTTAATATGATTTAAGGTTCACAGCTCTCCACAGCTTCCTGTCTCCTGTCATTCCAACCAATGTTGGACCCTTCATGATCTCTTCCCATCTCTGCTCTGCCATCCATTCACAGAAAATCATTCATCCTTCAAGACCTTTCTTATTTTTTTTGTTTTTAAACCCAACAAGAAAATTTTCTTTAACATGATATTTAAATACCTTTAGAATCACTGTCTATATAACAAATGCTAATGTCAGTGTGTTTCTGTATCACACTTTTTTCTATTAAAGGGACACAATTCTCTAACTTTCAATAGTTCATGTTAAAGAAATTTTGAATTCTCAAGTTTTCATTACTTGAATTGTTTTCATCATTTTTTTTTTTCATGTGATTTTTTTGCAACAATTTTTATAACTTGGAAATAAATTTGGGAATAATCAAAATTAATTGTGAAATCCAACAAATTGTTTGTACAGAAAGTAAGGACCTATGCACATCAAATTATCTTTATTAAGTAGCAGCAGAAAAATTTTTGTTGAACTATTAAAAGGTAAACTTAGATATCAATGCAAAGCTTAAATGCAGCAATCAGTTTTGAGTTCTGTAGTTTATTGTTGCCTCTCACATACAGCAGCAGTATGCCTCACAAAAAGAAATCTCTGCCAACATATGACCAGATTGCAGTCAAGAGCCATGGCTGCACCAAGAAAAAGAAAGTCCTGTACAAATGAGAACCCTGGTCAAACGGCAGCCAGGAGAGCTTCTAATGTTAAAAATATGCAAAGACTTAGGGACTCTCAAACTCCTGAACAAGCAAATGCCCAATCAAGAACTCTTTGCAGGAGCTAGCTTAAATGCTGCCTGATAGGGTGGCTTTTAAGCTAGTTATATTTTGCACATCTTGGTTTTTATCCTCAAAACGTTTCAGCCATTGATTTTCCAGCCTTCACCAGGTGTCTGTCTGCATACTCAGTTACCTTGGAGTTTAAGCAAAGCTTTTATTTTTTGCAATAATGAATTTTTTTTGTGCAATAACAATTTTTAAAGCATGGAAATAAATTCTGGAATAATTGTTTGTACAGAAAGTAAGGACCTACACACATCAAATTGTCTTTTAATTAAGTGGCAGGAGCATGACTCTCAAAAAGAAATCTCCATCAACTGAGGACCAGATTGCAATCAAAAGAACCAATGCTGCAGCGAGGAAAAGAAAGTCCCATTGCAAATGAAAACCCAGATCAAATGGCAGCCAAGAGAACTTCTATTGTTAAGAATATGCAAAGTCTGAATCAAGAGCTAGCTTAAATGCTGCCTGATAAGGGAGGCTTTTAAGCTAAGTTATATTTTGCACATCTTGGTTGTTATCCTCACAATTTTTCAGCCATTGCATTTTCCACCCTTCATCAGGTGTCTGTCTGCATATTCAGTCACCTTGGAGTTTAAGCAAAGCTTTTATTCAATCTATAACAAAACCAGCACATCAACCTAAAATTCTCATGTTTTAAATAACTTCATCAGATCAAGACTTTCATATCAATGTCATCCATGGCGCTAAACTTGTTCAGAAATATCCAAATTGTCAGCTGGTTAAAAATGGCTTTCAGCAAGTGAAACCTGAGTTTTGGCAAAGACTATCCTCCTTTGAACCTTGTGGACTGGCGCTGGCGGAATCTCAAAGAACAGTGCCAAATAAGAGAAACCGCATCACTTGATGACTTTCCACAGTAGCAACAACTAAAATGGAGAGCACATGTAACTTGATGAGGAAATGACATAATCAAGAGGTTAAAATTACACATGACTTCAAATAAAAGGTTAAAAAGAAACCCCCATCAATACTGAAAAGAGTGATAAATGCTATTGGACATGAGAAAACTATTTTTCTATTTTAATTGAAAGATTTTATAAATTTCAATGAGAATATTAGCAGCTACTCAGTCGATAAATGCCAAATGTTTCCTTATAGGGAAACAGCTAATATTACCATAAAAGTGAATTGTTCCTATTCTGTTTTCCATGCTTAGGAGGTGAGAACTCATATCAATTTATATGCATGAATTTCATTCACTTTTATGTTTTTTTTTTTTTTTTCCATTTCTTCAAGTGAAACAGACTCAAGGATTGAACTCATAATTAGCAGAGAATATTTTAACCAATGCTTTAATCTGATCTTGCATGAGACATATAACTTACTGGTTTATTACATTTAAAAATTGTTTAAGATTTGAAGACATTGGAAAAATTAAGTGGAAAGAAGTGGTTTTCTTTTATTTTATAGTTTGATTTCAGGGTAGAGGAAGTAATCTAAATTTTTCCCAGATTTTGGTCTCTATTTTGAAAGACTCTTTAAGTTCTTTTGAATTTAACAGATTCATTTTGAAAATATTTCACTTGAGACTTTTGTATGTCTTTAGACATTCTTCCAAATGATATAAATATAATGTGATTTATGGTGTTTTTCTTCTTTGTTTTATAAAAAACCTCACAAACATTTTGTGTGGGGATAACATATGTAATCTTGTATGGGAATTCCTGTTGACATGGTTTTCATTTTAACCTACATTTAAAGAACCAGGCTTTCTTTTAATTGTTTGTAAGTACAGTTAGTATTTGGTTCAGATAACCAGAATAAACTAGTTTTTTTTTTTTTTTTTTCTATTTTGTTTTTTTAATTTTTTTCTTTCTTTCTCTCTCTTTTTTTTCTTTCTTTCTTTCTCTCTCCTTTTTTTTTTTTTCTTTCTCTCTCCTTTTTTTCTTTCTTTCTTTCTCTCTCCTTTTTTTTCTTTTCTTTCTCTCTCCTCTCTTCCTTTTTTCTTTCTTTCTTTCTCTCTCCTTTTTTTTTCTTTTCTTTTTTCTCTCCTTTTTTCTTTCTTTCTTTCTCTCTCCTTTTTTCTTTCTTTCTTTCTCTCTTTTTTTTTCTTTTCTTTCTTTTTCTCTCTTTTTTTTCTTTCTTTTTCTCTCTTTTTTTTCTTTCTTTTTCTCTCTTTTTTTTCTTTCTTTTTCTCTCTTTTTTTTCTTTCTTTTTCTCTCTTTTTTTTCTTTCTTTTTCTCTCTTTTTTTCTTTCTTTCTTTTTCTCTCCTTTTTTCTTTCTTTTCTCTCCTTTTTTTCTTTCTTTCTTTCTCTCCTTTTTTTTTTTTCTTTCTTTCTCTCTCTCCCTTTTTTCTTTCTTTCTTTCTCTCTCCTTTTTTTTCTTTCTTTCTTTCTCTCTCCTTTTTTTTCTTTCTTTCTTTCTCTCTCCTTTTTTTTCTTTCTTTCTTTCTCTCTCCTTTTTTTTCTTTCTTTCTTTCTCTCTCCTTTTTTTTCTTTCTTTCTTTCTCTCTCCTTTTTTCTTTCTTTTCTTTCTCTCTCCTTTTTTTTTTTCTTTCTTTCTTTTCTCTCCTTTTTTCTTTCTTTCTTTCTCTCTCCTTTTTTTCTTTTTTTTTCTCTTCCTTTTTCTTTCTTTCTTTCTCTCTCCTTTTTTCTTTCTTTCTTTCTCTCTCTTTTTTTTTTCTTTTCTTTCTTTCTTTCTCTTTTTTTTTTTTTTTTCTTTTTTCTCTCTCCTTTTTTTCTTTCTTTCTTTCTCTCTCTCCTTTTTTTCTTTCTTTCTCTCTCTTTTTTTTTTCTTTCTTTCTTTCTTTTTTTTTCTTTCTTTCTCTCTCTCCTTTTTTTCTTTCTTTCTTTCTCTCTCTCCTTTTTTTTTCTTTCTTTCTCTCTTTTTTTTCTTTTTTTTTCTTTCTTTTTTTCTTTCTCTCTCTCTTTTTTTTTTTCTTTCTTTCTCTCTCTCCTTTTTTCTTTCTTTCTTTCTCTCTCCTTTTTTTCTTTCTTTCTTTCTCTCTCCTTTTTTCTTTCTTTCTTTCTCTCTCCTTTTTTTTCTTTCTTTCTTTCTCTCTCTTTTTTTTTCTTTTTTTTCTTTCTTTCTCTCTCTCCTTTTTTTCTTTCTTTCTTTCTCTCCTTTTTTTTCTTTCTTTCTTTCTCTCTCTCCTTTTTTTTCTTTCTTTCTTTCTCTCTCTCCTTTTTTTTCTTTCTTTCTTTCTCTCTCTCCTTTTTTTTCTTTCTTTCTTTCTCTCTCTCCTTTTTTTTCTTTCTTTCTTTCTCTCTCTTTTTTTTCTTTCTTTTTTTCTTTTCTCTCTCTCCTTTTTTTCTTTCTTTCTTTCTCTCTCTCCTTTTTTTCTTTCTTTCTTTTCTCTTTTTTTTTTCTTTTCTTTCTTTTTCTTTTCCTTTTTTTCTCTCTCTCCTTTTTTTCTCTCTCCTTTTTTTTCTTTCTCTCCTTTTTTTTCTTTCTCTCCTTTTTTTTCTTTCTCTCCTTTTTTTTCTTTCTTTCTTTCTCTCTCTCCTTTTTTTTCTTTCTTTCTTTCTTTCTCTCTCTCCTCGAAAATGGAAACAAAAGTACTTAGCATCAGAAAAAGTTGAAATTTCTATGGCACATAATAAAGACAGCTTAGAAAATTCAATACTCACAAGGCAAGAGAGACAGTGAAGGGCCATGATCACCCACATCCAGTAGCAACATGACATGCAAGAGAAGATCAGAAAAAAGAAATTGGCTTTAACCAAACTTGTATAATGTGGGCGAGGTGGGGGCAGAAAACTTCTGATTCACTTTCCCAAACCTGTTCAAACATTCATTTTTTTTTTTTCTTTGGTGTGCTCACACACACTCTTTTTTTTTTTTTTTTTTTTTTTCACAGTGATGTTCACTCTGTCCAAAGTTCGAGAGCCACTCAAGGTAGAGAATTACAGAGTAATAAGCACAGTTTATGTGGATATGTGGGGAAGATAAGTTAACCCTAAACTTTCACAGATTAAGATTGTAGTGATCAGGGAAGCATCCTCATGGGAGCTTGTTTCACAAAGTAGCAGTTTGTAGGAAGAGTAGAATTTACATTTCATCAGTGGAATATGAAGAGAATGAGGGTGGTCCACGACAATGGGCGTGGTTTTAGCCATAAAGGTTAGAAATGATAGAAAAAGAGTGGGAGGAATAGTAAAAAGATATATAATTTCTAAGAGCTACAAAGAAGTCATCATGAAGATCCAAGGATGGACTTGGAATACAGAGGAAGAATATTGATAGCCATCCTCTTGGGAATTGGTTCCATAAAGTAGCAGTCTATGGGAAGAAGAAGCTGCTTGAGTGAAACTTAGATCTTACCAATGAGAATAAGGGTGGGTTGCAACAATGTGCGTATCATGGTGGGTCCTATCCATGAATATTAGAATTGGTCGTACTAAGGAATGTATAATATAAATAACATTTCACCTTAAACTTGAATGTCTTCTGAGAATTATTTTTTTTCCTTTTATCTCTATCTTCCAATCAAATTAGCATTATACCTGAATGAAAATTGTTTTGGAACATGTAGCACATACCACATTCTTTAGGTGTGTTCTCGTAAACTTATTATTACAGGTAAAAGTATTTAGAGATGAACTGAATAGCTTCCGTTAAAATTTCTAGAATGTGTACTTTCGGGTTTTTTTGTTTTTCTTCTTTTTGGCAGAGCTCTGGTAATTACATGTTTTATCCAATTTATAAAGTGTTTCTCTTTAAACGTTAATGTTTCAAGATCTTTTCAGCCTGGGAAGTTTCCATTAAGCTTAATGTTGTTTTCAGCTTCGTTGTTCCATTTTAAAATTGCATTGAAAATGAAGACAGGGATTGTCAGTGGTCAGGAATAAATGCGGATAATAAGGATTTTAAATGTATAATGGAAATGCATTGCTAATGATTTTACTATAGGAATGCATTGCAAATAAGGAAGAAAGGGATTGTCAGTGGTCAGGAATGAATGCAAGCACTACTGATAGAATAGGGCTATTATATGTATAATGTAAATGCATTGCTAATGATTTTACAATAGGAATGCATTGCAAATGAGGAAGAAAGGGGTTGTCAGTGGTCAGGATTGTGTTGATTTAAAAAAATATTTTTATTTGTGAACTGAACTTTCTGCAGTTGTTAACCAATTTCATGACGAATTTGTTTTTTCTTTTTATCTTTCAGGAGGATGGGCTTTTCAGCTGACCTCCAGGGCAGGACATCCCATGAAGCCCTCATGCATTTTTTGGATGAGGAAATTGGTCTCATGGAAACCATGAAAAAATGCATTATGATCCATTTAGAAGGAGACAAAAAGTATGTGGAGATGCTCTCAAATTTCTTACAAGCTGCTCAAAAGATAGGAACTGTACAATTTGAGACTTCAATTTACAAGGTAAATAAGGGGATCAATTTGTTTTTCTTTTTACCACTATCACCATCTGTTCTGTTTAAGGCTTTAGAATAGTATTGGGGGGGTTAGTTAATACCAAATTGTTTGATGGATTTAGTTGGTTTAGTCTTAATTTAGTGTGTATATATATATATATATATATATATACATACAAATACTGAAACTCTGATCTTGTGTGTGATATATATATATATATATGGTATCAAATTACAATTGGAAAAAAATCTTACATTTTGCCAACGCGTTTCGTCTTCCAAAATGTAAGATTTTTTTCCAATTGTCATTTGATACCAATCTATCTTGTCCACAGAATTCATCTGGGAATTTAACTATATATATATATATATATATATATATATATATATATATATATATTGTCTTAAAAACAACAGACATGGTGCTTTTATTTAATTTTTTATACAATTTCTCATGTGATCTAATAATTTTTTTCTTTTCAGATGATAAATTATATTAAAAATTTCTTCGGCTATATACCTTTAGCCATTTTCAAGGATTAAATATTTTAACTGTTAAAATTAGAAATAGTTTGTTGTATGTATGTTTTATAAAATGTTTTCATTTTTTTTTGTTTCAAAACACTGTCAAGATATTATGTCCATGTTCAAAGTTAATATTATTAAGTGTTGGTTTGTTTTTATTAATAAGGCTTCCATTATTTTTAGCCTTTTTTTACATGTATATGATGCTATTATATTTGTGTTTGTGACAAGTATGTTACGAATAGTGTCTGGTAGGTCTCCATGAATATTTAAATGAGATCTAATTGAGCTATTGTCAGAAAGGTGTAGAGTTAGTCTGCGTGTCAAACATGTTGTAGTGTGGCCTATATAATTATTTACAAAAGTTGATTGTTGAGGAATACAATTTCTTGATGGGCATTTGAATTCGTAAATAATATTTTCCCTATTAATTTTGTTCTAGGAGGTGAATTATTGTTTTTAACTATAAGGTTAGAGGTTTTAAATTTTTTATAATAAATAATTAATCTAATTTTTTTTGCTATTGTCAACTGGTGTTATGCATTTTTTTATAATGTTCTTAATTCTGCTTTCATCTTGTTTATAATTATATATAATGATGGCTCTTGACTCATGTAATGATTATGACCATCACTGACAAGCATTAATGGTCATAAGACAAACGAGAGCTCTAAACTGTAGGCAGGCATAGCAACTACTACTAAATATAGGGTTTGGTACTATCCACTGTTTCACGCATCTCCTGGTGGGGGGTCTTGGAACATATTTTAGAATTGGTCTTTTTATTATTAGTTATTATTGTTAATCTCTTATTGGGCCTAATTTATAAATGAAACTTTATCATAGGTCTAGATGGATAGGAAAAAACATAGTGTATATATATATATATATATATATATATATAATTATTTTTTATAAAAAAAATTATAACATAAGTATGTTATAAAATCACTACAAAAATAGCCATTTTGTTTCAACGCACTCTGTGTCTTATCAAGTGATGATGTTGAAAATAAAATAAATGGTTTTAAAAGTTTCAGATTAATTAATGATCCTACACTGGGGGAAACATTGTTACAAAAGCTAGAATAACCAATCAAAAACCAAGTATAGAAAGATTCAAAAGCTTGACAATGAAATCATGTTATAATAGCTATTCAGATCTTTAAAATACGGGTAATATTAAAAATAATTTATACTAACCAATAATTATAAAATTATATGATAAAATTTAATATTAAAATTAAAAACTGGCAATTTTAAAATCCAAATTTAATCACTATTAAGTTTAAAAACTACAAAATTATTGAGAAAAGAAAAAATATATATGTTTATTCAATTCATTTCTTCATTGAAATTACGTTCGACAAGACGCTACAATATATCCGGTCATTTGACAATATAATATATATATATATATATATATATATATATATATATATATGGTTTGGTACTATCCACAGATTCAGGCATCTGCTGAGGGTCTTGGAACATATTGTTAGAATTTGTCTCTTTTATTATTAGTTATTATTGTTAATCTCTTATTGGGTTTAATTTATAAATGAAACAATAATTAATAATAAAACGGAAGAATTATGTTAATACACTTTAACAAAATTTATACCAGGAATAGATCTTTTCTAACGATAACAATCTCAGATATTTAATTTTTTTATGGCAAGAACTTTTTCTTTTTTACTAGAAATATGTTAATGGTTCACCTTGATCACTGAGACATGGCTTTTGATTACATTTGAAAGAAAGATTAAAAAATATATATAAAAGTGCACTCTGAGGTAAACACAGTGACAGGAATCTGCTTGATGTTTGAATGCAGTCTTCAGGCCATGTGTGTTATGTGGTAGCTTAAATATTTATATATACTGGTCAATTGGTCATTATGGATATCAAAGTCAACTATTTCTGGATTATTGTATTATTTTAACAGTCATTGGCTATCATTATGTTTCAAATTATTCTAAAGACTATTGAGTAGAAATAATTGTAGATGTGAATTTAGTTATTTGAAGCTATTGTATAGTGTTTGACTTTTCACTCATTATTTGTTATTGGTTACTTAGTATATTTTGTATTTATTTATTTTTTTTTCTTATTGTGTTACTGAGTGCATTCATAGTTTAATTTGTTTATTATTTACTTTATTTTTTTCAAAGGTTGGTGACCTTATTTGTTTCATTTAAAATATTGTCTTTGTTGAAAATGTTACATTATCTGCATTTTTTATATATATATATATATATATATATATATATTCGACTCTCCCATTCAATTCAACGTATGAGGGTCAAGCAGATCAGTTCCCAGGAACCGACACCCCAACACCAGCACATGAGATTTGATTATAGTGGTGAGTGTTTTGTGCAGAACCATCCACCCTTTTTTTAAGGGTCGAATACAGTGACCTGGTGCACTATGTGCCACAAGGTCCCCAAATGACCCTCCACAGGTTTTGAATTCAGAGTTGCCCTTCTCCTAGAAGGTTGCTACCCAAGGCTATAGAACCCAGTCTGTCCTGCTATTTACCCATAGCTGAATGGAGAAGAGGATTCATACCTTTCCAAAAGGTATTAGCATGTAAGTGAATGCAACAGATTTGACTGGAATTCGAACTTGATTCTCAGATTCTTCAATCCAAGCCACTATCCACTGTACCTCGTCATGTACTCCACTCGTGTGTGTGTGTGTATATATATATATATATATATATATATATATATATATAATTTGTATTTTTCTTGATGTTTTACAACAGGAGTCAGCAACCTTTTGCTAACTGTGTGCCAACAGGTCAATATACCTGTTCTACAATATATTTTATATAGTATATATAATTTAATATATATTAAAATTGAAATAGCTGAATATCTTCTTTGCATTGTAGTAGTTATTGGTTTGGACTTTGTGATGTCATTTGCGGTTGTGTGTCATTGGAAATTACTTTGTGTGCTGCAGGTTGCTGACACTGTTTTACAAGATTTTTTTTTTTAAAGTAACATAGTAATTGTTTTATGTCTTCCATTTATCGCCTGTTAAGAACATGTTCTGACATGAAAACATTCTTACTACATTACTTAAAAATATTGGAATATATTGCCTGTAGATAATGCTGCTGAACAACTTTATGTATAGGGTTTTGTACTATTGACTGTTTCAAGTATTCACTGGAAACGTTGAATCATATTCCCTGTGGATAAGGGAAAGTTATTGTACACTATATAGTATGACTTTTAATAATGAGCAACCTTGATTCTATTTTCCTTAAATTTTCATCAGTTCCTAACAGGGTGTGGCCACTGTGCAGTTCATTCATGCATAGCATGTGTTGGGCAATTTGACTGGTGAAGCCCATCCCTCTCAAGGTCAAATGACAACAGCTGTCCTCTAACCTGAAATCTTTTGTTGGTCACTGACTCATGACTACTGATTCCATCAGAGGGTATCCTCCACCCTGGCCATTGAATTAGGTCTTAGAAGCTCTGTACCCCTACAATGCTGTGTCATCACCACAAAGCAGCATACATAGCTATGGAGTTCAGTCTACCCTATTGTGCTAGATGGCTGTTGGTCCTACAAGAAGATTCATTACTCTTTAACAGCTCAGGATTTTAACCCTGCTGGGTGTTCAGCCACCCTTTTCACTATAAAACCCTGATCGGGAACCAGTTCAGTCACCAATGATCTGCCTATGCAGCAAATAATATTGGTTTACTAGGTATCAGTAGCACTCGTAGAATGACCCGACATAGCCTACCTTAAATAATTTCTTGAAATGATTAACTCCAAACATTAACAAAAAATAGGACTTGGCAAATATTTGCTCATTTTACCTGAAATAACTGCTTCTGAAAAAGAAAGAAAAATACAATATTTTAAAATTGGGAGATTTTTTTAATTCAAATCTGCACCATTTGAGTTTTTTACTTTTTCCTGGCAGGATTGTCATAAAAAGATTCTACTTTATAGCATTTTATAGGATTTTATTTTATTAGATTCTATTTTATGGGCTTTTATAGGATTCTGTTTTATAAGATTCTTTATTTTAAAAAACTATAAAATCTTGAAAAACCCAAATAATAATTATCTTAGTGTTGAATCTTTATTTTTATCTGATAAAATACTTCGTGTATGAAAGTCTCGTACTTAGAATAAAGCTCATAAAAAATATTTAAAAATACCAACCAACCAACCAAATATATACCCCACCCTGAGAATTTTTTTATGTAGTTGTTAAAAAAAAAAAAAAACTTGAATAATTAAAATTTTGCCGTGGAGATGTATTAAGTTTGTCACATGACTTGTTAGATGATGAGTAATAGCAATAACATTTTTCTTCTAACTTGACTTTATTTTTGTCTATATTTCTGAGGTGAGGTATTCTAATTATTTACACTATTTACATTCTTCAGGATGTTGTCCTCATCTTCATTGTCATATACACACTGTTTCATCTGTTTTATGCAC